CAGAAAAGAGAACAGTTGGGATTCTGAAGAAACTACGGATAATATTTTTACATAAAGTCAACTTCCGGATGGCGCAAGGGAATTCTTGCTACCTCCGTGCATCGCTTTTATCGAGTACGAGAAAACGTTCGACACGTTCAACCATAAAGTTGTGTGGATTGCACTGGCAGAATAGGTTTCGGCATCACCTGTTGAAGCTAGTGAACTCTGTTTCATAAATATCACGCTCTTCGATACTCCAATCAGATTCTGGAACAGAAGGGCACACCATTTGTCCGAAGATTTTCATTGTCGTCTAAATACAGTTCTAGAGGATAAATTGGAAGGGATGGATTAACATCAATGGCGAATCCCTCCGTCATATAAGTTTCACGGAAAACACCGATCAGCTACAAAATATGCTGCGAGATCTTAAAAGAAAAAGTGCTAATCAATCGGTTAAAGAAAAGACTTCGATCAGATGCCCCGCAGAAGGCCCAGGGAATATTAAACTGTGAAAAGAAGTTGAATACCGAAGTCGATAAATACATTTACATGAGACAAGAGATCGATATGCGGCAGAGAGAAAAAGGTTTGCGCGCGTTTAATTCCATCGAGGACGCCCCTTTGTGGCAACATCAGGAAAGAAACCTGCAACCATCTCTTCAATTCTACCGTCCTGCTATCAGTGTTGTATGGCAGTGAGACGACATCAATCTCTAAAACCGAAGAACGCAAGCTAGCTATCACTGAGAGAGCTATGGAAAAAAGAATGTTGAGAATTTTACATTGTGGCCACATTCCCGCCATGGTAATCAGACAGCAGACGGGACGCTGTGGTTGAAAGCTGAAAGAAGCTACGATGTGCCTGGCAGATAGTTCGGTTCACCAATGGTAGATGGTCGACTGATACTCTCGCGTACGGAGAAGTCCGCCATGACGGTGGAAAAAAATATATCAGGAGCCAGGAAGAACACATAAGGAGGAAGAAGGCTCGAAACTGCGAAGAACGGCAGGCATGCTGT